CAGATATTATTTTGTCACACTGTGCTTACAGCTTGCCATGTTGCTAAAATGTACAATAATTTCGTTAAGACGCCTTGATGCGCGCGGGGCCTATAAAACGCGGGGCCGGGTGCAACCGCACCGTTTGCACATGCCTCACGCCGGCACTGAAATCATAAGTGAATAAAATAACATGAAAAGCAGATAAACATATTTCATTTGATTTGGGTATTTTATCAATATTCTAAACATTTTATACTCAGGTAAAGTCATTCTTATAGAGATTGTCATTTTATGACAAAGATTTGTACTATTTGATTACCTTACCACGCATCTTCGAACTATTGTACGATGATACGATTTTATAAAATAATAATAATAATAATAATAAACGAACAGCAACTAAAACTTTCATATAGAGAGAATTCGAATGCTACATAGGATAGGAACGCGGGAAATTATTGATATAATGCAGATATTACCCGTAGCTAATAACCACACTATGGAAAAATGTTAAGCAAACCATCTGTGAAAGAGATATAACGACACTGCTCTCACTTAGTGCCTTTCAGGATACACATACATGTGTGTATCCTGGTGCCTTTATACCACTTACGAATTTTAAATCCTCTCACAAAATCAATGTCCAGCACAAGACAATAGTATTGTAAAAGCATACAAACACGGCCCGCACACAGAAATTTAAGGTAAGTAACATAACGACACCACCTTTCACCTAATGCCTTTATATTACCCATGCTTAGATGTTCAAGTAAAAACGCTTTTCCAACAAGACACAAATACAAATACAGACACAAATAAAATCAACAATATGCAATAAAATAAAAGGGTGTAAAATATAAATAAATACAATAAATGGTAAATAGGAGAGCGTCATTACAAAAACACCTAAACATAGCCTAAAACTCAAACCACATAAAAGTGTCGCGCTGTATAAAATAAATATTATAAGAACAAAATATAGCACCCCAAAGTCATTATCAAGTATTCAAATTAAAGCGCTTAGGTAAGCAGGTTTAACCCTAAGTCTCCAATCCGAATCTATTACAATGCTAATCGGTACCATTACCTTACCATGATATTACCTAATGGTAATATCAAATTATGTGATAATAATAATAATAGCAATAATAATAATAATAATAATAATAATAATAATAGCATTTTATAAACCTTACCCAAGTAATACCAATATGATAATAATAATATAATTGTTAAAAGCTTTAGCTTGAGTACAAATGCAAAGATTTAAAATAAATAAATACCTTAATTCCGAGATAATACACTGAGTTTCATAAACAATAAAATACATTTCAGTTAAATAAAGTCATACAAAGTTATACAAAAGGAAACAGCAAAATCAAGGCCAGTGTAACTCAAAATAAAGAAAATACAAAATAGTAATATTGAAGGTAAATGTAATTCAGTGTATATGATAAACGCGACAACATAAAGATTGAAACTCAGTGTATGCGCGATCCCAAGATATTAAACCAAAATAATGAAATGTGATACAATAAAAAAATATTACCAAAAATCATTCGCTATTTACACATATTAAAATGATTAGGACCCAATAAACTAGCAATGATAAACGTCATAGACCAAAATGCGAATTAAATAATATTGTTCAAAATTATAAGCAAAAATGTATTAAGAAAACCGAAAACGAGGAGTTGTTTAACATTACTAGCAATTATTACAATTTATAAAAGTGTACATACCTAATTACAACAGGAAATCGGTAACAATCACAATAGTTATATTAAAATATCTATCACAAACTTTTTATATGATGCGTATCGGATGAAAGTCTACACTCTTCTCCCTCTTTCTTCCCTATTTCTATATTTTAAACATCTCGGCCACTTAAGCAAGAATGTGTAACATAAACAACTCACCCTAATATTTCTAGGTACAGATACAAAGAAGTAAAATTTTAAAACTCAAGGTTTTTAAAACATAAAATAACTTAAAACTATAACATTAATTTTGGTGGATTATTTAAATTTTCCTTTGTTAAAATAGCGCCAAATTTGAATTTAAAAGTTTATGGACCACAGGACCCTTACAGCCCCCATAGCTATACGTAAAGATTTATTTTAAATAATGTCCACTCGTTTTAAAATGTTGTTACTAGCAGAGCCATAAAGTATAGCCCGTAGTCTAAGATGGATCTTATATATGATTTGTAAAAAATGAGAGAAATATCTGGGTGGGCCCCCCACCATGTTTTGTTTATCATTTTAAGAAAGTTAATACCTTTTTCACATTTAGCAATCATTGATTCTATGTGTGAGGCCCACGTAAGTTTTTTATCTAGCTGCATGCCCAAGTATTTTACTTTATTACTAAAAGGAACACTATGCCCATCCAGGTCAATGCTAGGAACATTGTGGGTATTGTGTCTAGTGAATATGGTAGATATAGATTTTTCGATAAAGAGATTAAAGCCATAGTCGAAAAGCCATTGGTTTATATTATGAAACAATTTGCCCAGCATTTTGACACAAATATTATAGGTTTTATATGAGACATAACAACAGAAATCGTCTGCATATTGAGTTATTACCGAGTTGTTATTGTTAAAACGGTGAATACTAGCAGTGTTTATATTAAAAAGAGTTGGGCTAAGTATAGAGCCCTGTGGTAGCCCAGTAGAGACTATTCTTGATGCATGTTTTTGCCCATTGGAGTCCCTTACATATAGAATTCTGTGTCTCTACAATGATACCATAATATTAGCTTGAGGAACTGGAAGACCAAATTTAATTAATTCCTTTAATAGAATGTCGAGTTCCACGCAGTCATATGCACCCTTTAAGTCTAAAAAGAGGGAGCCCATATAAAAGTTTTTTGAAAAATTGATTTGAATATCCGTAACAATGTGAGATAACGCATTAATTGTTCCCAGCCCTTTTTTGTATCCAAATTGGTAAGAAGGAAGTGGTTTCACATTTACAAACCACCATTCAAGTCTTATTTTTATAAGTCGTTCAAAGGTTTTAAGAATACATGATAGAAGTGATATTGGTCTATATGAATCGGGTTTGTTAGGATCCTTATTTGGTTTTTGTATGGGTACAATAACAATCTCCTTAAGCTTTGGTATGGTTGCCCCTTTAGTCCAAATGTCATTGTAAATATCTAAGAGAAAAAGTTTTGCTTTAAGTGGTAGAAAATTAATCATAGGATAGTTTATCTCGTCAATGCCTGGGCATGAACTATTATTGTTTTTTAAAGCATACTCTAATTATAAGAAAAAATTGAACCTACACCTCGCCAAAGATTTTTGTTTTGAATGCGTTCCACCAACTTCAAATACCGACAGACAGCTGTTTCGACCTTTATTGGGTCTCATCAGTGTCGGGCAACTTGGTGTAGTGGAACACAATCAAAACAAATTACTCCCTCAGCTTATATGCTCGGTTGTTAAGTCAACAGAGGCGAGATGTAAGAACATCAGGTGATCCACACCGTCAAACGACGTAGCCTTTGCCGCAATCGGTACATACTATGCAACCGGGACTGCACACAGCAATTGTATCACAGATACTAATATGGCCTAAGGGTAAAAATTTCTCAAGTGGGCCACCCAAAAACCCTTCAGTCAAATTTTTTGTTCAAAATATATTTTTTGGGTAAAGTTTAAGCACCTCCACCGATTTGCCCAAAAATTTGTCTAAAAAATTTTTTTTTGTCTCAAACATTAATGAACTAAGTTTTAAGACACTTTTTTTTTAAAAATTAATATCTCCTAAAGTAATGCATTGATTTTTAAAATTAAATCACCAATTAATTCAGATTTTAACGTAGTTTCGATAAAAAAAATTTATAACCTTCAAAATTTGCATGTTTATATATTTTTCAGGTTAATATTTATGAAAAATTGTAAAAAATTGTGTTCTTCATCGAAATTTGTAACGAAAAAAATAGTGTATATAAAAGAAACCTTATTAAATAGATTTGCGTTTAGAAAAAAAATGAATCTCTTCTAGAAATGGAGATATAAAAACATTTGTAAGGCGGCGCGCTGCACTGGCAAGCGCGATAAAACGGGTAGTCGCGCGGAGTGCGTTATCTTCAAGCTTCGAAGTTCGTTGTTATTCAAAAATCGAAAAAACAAACGTGTTTATTAAAAAAAACTCTTTATTTGTTAATTATTATTAATAATTTTTTTTTGCAAATACATTAGTTTACTTGCACAAGTATTTACTTCCTGATTGCACATGTTTTATATTCATTGGACGATGAAATTTTTCTGCACATGATATGTTTGCCGTCTTCACTTGGTTTAAAGCAATGATACTGGCGCGTATTTTTTATTGTAATTGCTTTCTTATAACGTGAGGTTAAAGCTTTATGCTCCCGATCGTGTTCGTTTTCTGTGCAAAAATCAAAAGAAACTTTCTCAAAAAAATTAATTGCCCAATTATAAAAAATCTTGGGCGTTAAAATTTGATTATATTCAGGTCGTTGCAAACTAACACGATAAGCATTTCTTTTTACTGTCGCGCCAATACCGTCACAGGCACTTTTTCCGTGGGATGTTGCAGAAAAATTCCATTCGACATTAATACCAGTAGATTTCATTAGAAATACAAGATTGAGAAAATTGAACTTATTTTTATATTGGGAACCGGAACCATCAGAAAAAAAGAACAACTTTTTTACATTTTTTTCCCCATGAACTTCCTTTAAATAATTCAGCATCTTTTTATTGAATAAATTCACTGCCGTTGAATCGTGTTTCATACTTTCCGAAATAATTACGAAATTGTGATGAAGGGTTTCATTATTTTCTTTGTAATAAATTACATAGGGATGTATCGTAACTTGGTTGTTAGACCAATGAAAAGACTGAATTGCATCTTGAATAACAAAACTAAAATTTTCAGAAAAATCCAAGGTAATGACGAACTCCCCATTTTTAAGATTTTTTTTCAAGTTATCAAGATTCTCTGCTTGTGCTTTTGCTATGTAATCATGTTTTAAAAGCTCTGGAAGTTCTTTTTCAACTCCATTAAAAAAATCAGCTTTTTCTTGGCAGAGAGACAGTAGTTCGCATCTGTAATGAAGACAGACATTATAATAATTGCACTGTGACGTTAGAAACCCTTAAACTTTACAAATATTTGTGCCCTTTTACCTGTCTGTGCTCGTCCATGATTTAAACTGGATTTTTTCAATGTTGTGATCATCGAAAATTTGTGACAATTTTTCAATGATTGGCGAAACGCCGGGACAGTTCTTGCAATCAAGGAGAAAACACGCTTCAGTCGATTTTTCGCACACCATACTTTTTAAAATGTCACGAACTTTATGATCACATTGGACACTTCGTTTTTTTAAATAGTCATTCAGTCCAACAAACTTTAAATTCATATTTTGATGAATTCGACAAACACATACATTGTGAGTTCCACTTGGTCCGACAGGAATGCACCAACCAGGGCGAAGTTTTGTAAATGCAGACAAACTTATTTTCACTTCTGTAATTTCTGCACAAAATTTGCCGTACAGTTCATTAATATTAAGCAGTAATAACCGCTTCTGTATTTTCCGTGCACCGTCATTTGTGACAATTTTGATGTAATCTTTTCTACCAGGCATAACGCGACTATATTTATCCGATGTGTAAAACTCCTCAATTTTTTCTAAAACGTCCGTTTTTAATGGCCGACCCTTTTTCTTATCAGGGCAAGATGCGTACCCACGAGAGTTTCGTAATTTTTGCGCGTTCCACGCTGCTCGTCGAGAGACATTTAATTCTCTGTGAATTTTTCTTACACTCCAATCTCTTGGCACGGTGGTAAGGATCCTCATTTTTTCAGCTTTGGAAGTTGCATTTGATAAAGCGATTTTGACTTCCTCTATCCACACTCTAGAAACTGGGCTTTGATTCTGGGATGGATCTGTAAATTTTGTGATTGATTAGAAATTAATTTTACAAAACTACAAAACAATGTTTCTCAGTATTTGTGAGCCTCATTTTTACCGTTAATTTTCCTTTTCTTAGGATTTTCATTGCTTAATATATAATCTGGAGAAGAGTCGTCAGCTTCGTTATCCGAAATTGATTCTCTTCTTATTTCGAATTCTTCATTATCTTCCTCTTCTTTAGGAGTATTTTCACTTTTACATTGAAAAGTACTCAATGAATAAATTGAAAGTCTGCACGAGTCACACAAATATTTGCCGATCAATTTAAAAAAAACTTTACTCCAGTTTTTCGTAACGAGTTTAATTTGTTTTCTCACACAATTATGATTTGGCTTATTTTTTGGGTTGCAGCAAAAATTTGGGGTTGGCATTTTCTAAAGGTAACAAGGAAAGCGAAGATCGATCACCTGTTTAATTTAAGTTTATATAAATATTTAAATTTAGCAAATTAAAATTTAATATTTGAGTCTTGCAAAGCTTGAAACTTTAATACTTAACGCCTATTATATTTACTTTTTATTACTCTCTTAAAATGAATTAGTCAAAAATAACTAATTATAAGTCATATTTGACTAATTGTCGTAGCGAAAAAGCAGTCACTAATAATTAGTCAAATTCCACTGAATGAAATAGTTAAATTAGTAAATTTAAATTTAAAAAAGTTTTGACCCAGCCTGGGATTGAACTCACGTCTGTCACTTGAGAAGCTTGTCAACCTAACCTCATAACCAGTCGGCTGTCAGCCGTTCTTATAAAAATAAATTTTATTTGTCAATAAATATTGTTCATAATATTTTAAAGTTTAATATATAATTTGTGTTACTGTTTTGAGCTAAACTTTTTGCATCTTTTTTTGTTTTATGGGTCATTTAACCATGGAGAGGCATATGCATTTAATTCAAATAATACTTTGTTGTTGGCCGTAAACGATTAAAGAAATTAGTTACTTTTATCTGTCAGAAATAGTCAAATATGGTGACTAATCTTAAATTAGTCAAACTTTAACTATTTACGTAGTAAAAAATAACTATTTAAAAGTGAAAACGACTATTTTATTAGTAAAAAATGCTGGTACTAATTCAAATAGTAGAATTTTGACTATTTCATTTTTAGAGAGTACGTGTAAGCATTTAATTTTATTTTGTTTTTCACACAATAAAATTATATATCCTACTTATAGGAACCGAAATAAATGTATTTAAGATCTACTAGATACTTAAATTGTTATTTAAGCTGTTATTTTACAGAAATAACTTACCCTTTTTCTTCCTTAAATAATTATTTACCAAAAACTTAATTGAACAATTGTATTTTAATAATTAAACACTTATCAATAACGACTTTACAACAACACTGTTACCCAGCGAATTATATTTTGACGAATAAATGACAGTTCGAGGGTTTAAGTTTAGGACGTCAAAGCCCACTACATATTAAGTATTAAACGTTTTTGACAGTTGTCAAATATCGCCTTTTGGTTTTGTGTCTAGATTTTGTTTAGTTAATTAAATCTAACATACCTACGCATCAAACAAAATGGGCGCGCTCCGCGCGGGTCGTCGCGGCGACCCGTTTTATCGCGCTCCGCCTTATAAATGTTTTTATATCTCCATTTCTAGAAGAGATTCATTTTTTTTCTAAACGCAAATCTATTTAATAAGGTTTCTTTTATATACACTATTTTTTTCGTTACAAATTTCGATGAAGAACACAATTTTTTACAATTTTTCATAAATATTAACCTAAAAAATATATAAACATGCAAATTTTGAAGGTTATAAATTTTTTTTATCGAAACTACGTTAAAATCTGAATTAATTGGTGATTTAATTTTAAAAATCAATGCATTACTTTAGGAGATATTAATTTTTAAAAAAAAAGTGTCTTAAAACTTAGTTCATTAATGTTTGAGACAAAAAAATTTTTTTTAGACAAATTTTTGGGCAAATCGGTGGAGGTGCTTAAACTTTACCCAAAAAATATATTTTGAACAAAAAATTTGACTGAAGGGTTTTTGGGTGGCCCACTTGAGAAATTTTTACCCCTAAAGGAATCTAGAATTAACCCAAACGGGCTAAACATTAAGGTAAACATTCAATTTTCTTAGTTTCTTTAAGAAACTTTCTTGACCCATCACTGGTAATATTCATAAGAATAAGAAAAAATTGAACCTACACCTCGCCAAAGATTTTTGTTTTGAATGCGTTCCACCAACTTCAAATACCGACAGACAGCTGTTTCGACGGTGTGGATCACCTGATGTTCTTACATCTCGCCTCTGTTGACTTAACAACCGAGCATATAAGCTGAGGGAGTAATTTGTTTTGATTGTGTTCCACTACACCAAGTTGCCCGACACTGATGAGACCCAATAAAGGTCGAAACAGCTGTCTGTCGGTATTTGAAGTTGGTGGAACGCATTCAAAACAAAAATCTTTGGCGAGGTGTAGGTTCAATTTTTTCTTATTCTTATGAATATTACCAGTGATGGGTCAAGAAAGTTTCTTAAAGAAACTAAGAAAATTGAATGTTTACATACTCTAATTCCTTAATGGTAAATTTTTTCGAGAAGTAATTTGTCTCCTCTGCTATATGATCAAATTGTACGATTTTATTTTCTACAAAGGGAGGAGCTATTTGGTTAAAAAATGTTTCTAGCCAAATGTTGGGGTTAGAGTTTTGAGTTGGTGTTAATCTTTTTAGTTTTTTGGCTTGAGCCCATAGATCCGCTGTGCTAGTATCCTTATTTAAGTTTTCACAGTAGACCTTCCAGCTTTGCCTGGCTTTAGATTTAAGAGTTCTTTTGCATTTGGCAGTTTCGTTTTTGTATAGAAGATAATTTTCCAGAGATGAATATTCTTTGTACTTTTTGAGCGCTAATTTTCTAGCTTTGATAGCTTCAGAGCAGGCTGCGTTCCACCAAGGTGGGGGCATTTTTTTTAATTTGCAGGGTTTAAAGGAAGGAATTGCCTGGTTGGCTGCCAGGTTTACTGCATGTAACAGATGGTTATATTTGTCAATAGTACTTGTAAAAGCAGGAATGGCTTTAAAGCATTTATCGAGAGTATTTGCATATATGTTCCAGTTGGCTTTTTTAGTGTTCCGTTTGTATTTTGGAAAGCGTAGGTTGTTATTAATAAGCCTAAAGTTAATACTAAGTTTTAAAAGTATGGGGAAGTAATCAAATCCAAGACTGTCATCCAATATTTCAAACTCAAAATTAGGAGCAATACTAGCTGAGCTCAGGGAAATGTCTATGGCTGATTTATTTTGATTAGGTTTCCAAATTTCATTTGGCGAGCCATTGTTTACAATTATTAGATCTAGATCGTCTAAAATGTTTAAAATTTGACAATTACATCTCAACTTTTTGGGCACTTATAATAATACGCGTTTTTATTGTTTTATCATTTGACTCAAAATATAAAATATTATAATTTAATAGAAATACAAAACCACAAGTATTTGATATCATTAAAAAGCTCTGAATATGAGCTAATAACACTAATTTGTATTTATAAGTGACGCTAACATTCCCAATGTGACCAGTAATTTAGTTACTCTAATTATAATATTACTGATAATACTTGTATGTAATCTTGTAGAGGTGTCGGCACATTCTTTATACAGTGCTGTTTTAAAGTCTGAAACTACCAAAAAAGAACCTTTTTTAATCCTAAGCGCAAAAAACGTAAACAATGAAATTTATTATTTATAAATCTAAATCAAATAAAAGAAGTCATTGACCTCACAAATGTTGGTCCTATAATAACAAATGCTAAAAATACCAAAGATGGTAAAGTAGTTCCTAACTTTATAAATAGGTAATGAAAGTATGAATAAGATAAAATCAACAATTGAATCTTCCGAAAAAAACAATTTTAATGTTGACTTCGGAAAAAAGAAGAGCGTTATTCTAATTGCTGAAGTAAATTTAATAAAATTATGCGTGAGGGATATATTTTTGTAGGTTTTCGAAGATGTAGGGTAGGGTAATGCCGACCGTTGGATAATTCCGACCACAGCAGATTTTAGTTAAAATGCAAATATTGTGTCGCAAAACTACCAGAGAAAATCTAACGCATATACTTTTAGTTTCGTTACAGCAAAAATTAGTTAGTTTGCTCAACAGCCGCATAGCAAATCGTGAGGCGTTAATTTTCGTTCATTTGCTGTAATTATGGATAATATATAAATAAGTAAGTAGAAGTGAAATATAAATTTTACAAATCTAAAAAGTAGATCATTAAAAAGGCCGTTCATTATGGTAATTCTTAATTTAGTTGTTCATTTGTTTACCGTAAAAATAGGTTATGTTCTCATTCAAATTTTTAATTAACGTCATTGAAGGGTAATCGCGACCATTTTGACAAAAGGCAAAGGAGAGAAAAAAGAAGCAAATGGAAGAACAAGAAGAACAAGGAGACCATAGGGATGCGTCAAAATTATGCATAATCTGTAGCGACATAGGAAAAGATAAGGAATGGTGATTAAGTGACCATTGGTCGCAATTACCCCTTATGGGTAGGGTAATACCGACTTCTCATATTTTTAAATTCGGGCTTAAATTTAGAAAATTTCACAAACTTTTCATTGTTTGGCAGAATATTTTTAAAGAAAACATCTTAGGGGTAGCAGTAAATCAGTAATTTCAGTTTTTTTGTAACATGCAAGTTTTATAGTCGTTTTAGCTTACCTCACTCTTCCCTAATGCTTTAAATGCTCAGGATATGGGCATTATGCCGAGAAATCAAATCTTCAAATGAAATTTGTCCTATTTGCTCGGAGAATCATACCCTTAAAGAATGCTCTGGTAATAATAATAAATGTATAAATTATGTAAATTATAATAAGGAAGCTAAATCCCAAAAATATGATGTAAATCATACAGCAATAAGCTCAAACTGTGCCATATATCAGTTTCACCAGAAAAAATATATGGATACAATAGAATACAACGAAAATATATAGCAATCAAGCAAATTAAAATCTAACTTATCTGTAGCACATCTAAATACCCACTCTATCAAAAATATACTAGATCTTTAAGAAGTATTCTTAGAATCTAAAAATATCAATGTATTGTGTGTATCGGAGACCTGATTAAAAATCAGCGACTTGTACTTTGATATTCCTGACTACAAAATTGCAGGAAAGTTTTGTAAATCAAAATCATCCCACGGTGGCGTTTTAATATGGATCCTAAACAACCAGGAAGTGAAAGAAATTGAAATGTTAAGTGTAGAAAAGTCTTTTGAGTGCTGTGCAACCAAAATTTTCGCCAAAAATTAGTGTTTTTTTATTGTTTGTATCTACATAACTCCTGACTCTGACATAAATGTGTTTTTTGAAGTGTTGAAGAATCTTTAAACAAACTTTTTAATAAAAACAAATTAATGAAAACGATAATTTGTGGGGATTTAAATATTGATCAAAGAGCACATGACAATAAGAGTAAACAACTAATTGATCTAGCAAACTCCTTGGGCTTAAATACTATTTAATGATCCAACCAGAATCTCTAAAAATAAAAAAATCTGCTATCGACTATATATTTTCAAACTTTGATAATGATATAAATGGGAAATGCTTTATATTTAACGACATATCAGATCACTTTGCACAAAGAATAGATTTTGCTGTTAACTGTAAGCCTAACAATTATTATTATTATAGATCATTTTCACCAAATACCATTGAAATGTTTAAAGCTTCACTAACTCAAGAAGCATGGACGGACGTTTTTCATGCAGACAGTATCCATGAAAAATATGGTGCATTTTTTAATATAATTAAATATTATTTGGGACTTACTTTTCCTATTCGAAAAAGATGTAATGTTAATGCAACAAAAAAGATTTATCAAATTCATTTGACTGGATGGACCATTCGATCCTCTTAAATAAGATGGAGTCTTATGGTCTTCGTGGCAAGTGCCTTAAACTTATTGAGTCATACCTTAAAAATAGGAAACAATTTGTCTTTCGAAAATATTCAATCTAATGAAAATTTTTTAGATATTGTAGTCCCCCAAGGGAGTGTTTTGGGGACATTGCTATTTTTAATATATATTAATGACATAAATGAAATGTTAAATCACCCACAGCTTTGCCGATGACATTACTTTGTTTGTAGTTGACAAAAATCAAGCAAACCTTAACATCAAAATAAATTCTTCACTTGTATTACTTTCAATTTGAAAGTTCAAATTATTTTAACACAAACAAACTTACATTAAATATTGATAAAACATTTTTTATTCAATTTTTTCCCATTCCCAGTAATTATATAGAAAGTCAACTAATGAAAATTAAAAATAAGTCCATTGCTGAAGTTTCAGAATTTAAGTTGCTTGGAGTATATTTTGATTTAAAGTGCACATGTGCAATATGTTTGTAATAAATTAACTTCAATTTGTTTTGCAATAAAACGATTAAGTAAAGTTGCCCCAAAAGAAACTGTAAAGATTTTTTATCATGCTAATTTGAATTAATATTAAGATACGGTATAATCTGCAGATTGCTGGGGAAACTCAACTGAATCAGAAAGGGTATTTGTTTTGCAAAAAAGGGCATTACCTACCTCATATGTGCGATCTAAAGCCTCGTGAGTCATGTAGAGAAATATTTAAAACCAATAACATATTAACACTATCTGGCATTTATATTTTTGAACTTCTTAAATTTGTCAAAAATAATTTAAACCAATTTAATAGACTAAATACTCACCATCATTATAAAACAAGACACGGAACTGATTTTCAATACAGCAATCATAGACTCAAATTATTTAAATCAAATCCATATTATGCTGGTGCTCTTTTGTATAACAAATTGCCACTCTATATAAAAAATCAATCCAGCAGTAAATTTACCAATTATGTTAAATCTTAGTCGTTTGCAAATGCGTTTTATACAGTAAACGTATATTTATGTTTTAATTTCGAAAATTTAGAATAATGTATTTTATTATTATCTATGCTGTTTTTTTATTGGATGTTAGAGAATAATATAATAATACCCTTTGCTTTGTATTTATATTTCTTAAAATTATGCCAGTTTTAAAAATAAAACAATAACACTTACATACTATCTCCTTTTATCTTAAAATTTAATCATATCGCGTAAATTCAACTGTGATTTAAATCTGTTCAATAGGTATTGTATAGTTTGCAATTTGCGGGTAGGTAATAACGTTTGAATTAAATTATTATAACCAATATTTGATAAGGATGATTTTATATCTTAGTCATTTACGTTTATTATAAATAAATAATTGCATATAAAAGTTACGAATCAACTAGTGCAATAGAACTATAAAAAATGAAGCCGACCGACATAACTAAAGAAAAAGGTATGTATTGGTATAATTTTGTGATTAATTTATAAAACATGTCTACCGTTTTAAAGGTGTTTATATAATTGAAGAAGATAATAATACTAAATGTAGGGATAAAATACAGTTAACGAAAGACAAATATTGTGTAGTGAGAATTTTGTTTTTTACAATGGGACTCGTTCATTTTGTACCTTTTACTTTCTTTACCACCGCAAACGATGTAAGTATTTTTTTATTTCTTTACTTTACCTATTGAGTATACTTTGTATAATTTTTTTTAAACATAAGAAATATATTATAATAAAATATTAAATTAAAGTTTCATTATTAAACTGATTGTATAACAATTTAAAATAATTAAAGAAATTATTTTAGGTAATGCTGCATTATTAATGAATTTTACGAAGATTTTTTTGAATTAAAATTATTATTATCGAATGTAATACCACTAGAGGTTCAATTTAGCTGGATTTTTTTTAATTTTTAAGAAAACTTGAGGGTTTGACGTATTAATTTGACAAGAAGAAATTTGGGCGCCCAAATTTCTTAGAGTCAAATTAACAAACAACAAAGTTTGAGTTAAAAGTCCAAAAAATTTCCTGCTCAATCGAACCTCGAGTGCTATTTGTTGAGAAAATTCCAGTAGCTAAATTAATTAAGTCATTTTTGTACAATAATACGTAAATCCATAGATAATAAATCCTTTACTATGGAAGGTAAATAGAAAAATATTTGTCTATTTTGGTCACTGTTTCTTTTTTTTATCAGTCAGAAAACCGTATTTTTGACAGTTAATAGGTTTAAATTGACAGGAGTGAAATTGTCATAGTTATTTTTTTATTTAAAAAATTATAAACTTTGAACAATAACTTAAAAATTTAATGAATAATTTTATACTTATCCACACAAATTGCTAAGCTGATTACACAGTGCAACAATGTTTGGGTTATCACTTCCAGAGCTACAGGGTGTAAAAAAATATTTTTTTTAATTTTTGAATTTAAATTGCAAAAATCACAGTTTGTTATTCGGGGGTTTTTAAAAGCGCTAAATCCAAACATGTTTGAAATAAAAAAAAATGTAAACAATCAATATAAAATGATTGCTTTAAAATGCTTAAAAAAGAAACTTGTTGATAAAGTGCATGGTTTTCGAGAAAAAATTCTTTAAATATTTTCGTAGCACCGAACAAGTCTGATATGTAATAAATTAGCTAGGAAGCTCGATTTTTGTAGATTTAAGAAAACAAAATTATACAAACGTGTTTCCGGACATGCTTGTATTTCAAGATATTAAGTATTAAAAATTACAAAAAAAAACATTATTAAAAAATTAAATTAAAAATTATTTTGTCTTAGAGGGGAAGCAATTTACACTGTAAATTTTCTCTTATTTAAAAAAAATTATTTACTATTATTTTAAATTGTGAACCACATTTATATTTGGGCTTAAAAAACTTCTATTTTACGAATCTTTTTGTTTCGAAAATGGCGAATGCTCCGGGATATGTGTAATATTTTTGTAGTCCGGTAAACAAGCCACCAAAAAACATACCCTACTAAATTAAAGGGTAAGTATCGAAAAGCTTTGTTACCTCACTCTGCCTTATATATTACATGTATGTTACAGTATATATACTTTATAATATATTATATAGTTTAAAATTAAATCATATCATAAAGAAAGAAGCAAATTTTAAATTTAAATAAGTCGAACCAAAAAATGTTTAGAGCGGCATTTTGTTAAAATTATGCAATTAGGTTTAAAATATTCAGGAACATCTTTTTCATACTCGAATTATAAAAAAATATAAAAAAAATTAAACTTACTTTTAGAAAGAAAATTTTACTTATGCATAAACATCTAAAGATTAAAACATTTTTAAAGTAGAAGTATATATACCCTTCGTGGTACATTAAAAGTTTCTGGGAAACGGCAATAAAAATCGATTTGAAATTTTTAAAGCCCTTATAATCCAATGGGGTAGTTAAATTTTTTCTAACCTATACTTTTTATGGTTTTATTCAAGGCGTTTTGTAATTTTAAACATTTCTGTGAAATCGGAATTTCAATTGAGCTTACCGTTTTCAAGATATTTACAAAAAAAAATCTCCTAATTACGTCACTAGGCTATTGACAACGTTGCCAGCTTTTTCTATGGTTGCCAGTGTGTTTAGTTTAATATTCTTACGATAGATGGCGCCACGTTATAATATTTTAGTTTTAAAACCACTTGATTTATAATTTTAATTAAGAAGAAGAAGAAGAATTGCAGTTTTAGTGATTTTTTACTCTTTTCAAAGCTTTCATACGAATTTTTGAATTAAAAAAATAATCCTAGTATAGATTCTTTGGGAAATTTTATGCTCTACAAGAATCCGCGACGTAAAAAATTTTATCTCAAACGGTTCAAAAGTTATAGTCTTTTTAATGAAAAAAGATTTTTTTACGTGTTATTTCAATGGAAAACTTAAAATGCTCACCGACACCTTTTAAAATTGAGCAAATAATTTTGCCTTGCAGGGAAATTTTTTGCTCGGTATGTAGGTTCATTTTAACCCATAAATCCGAAAGGTTAGTATTTTTGGCTCACACTATAGTGTACATTTATCTCATATTTTAATAGCATAAAATTAATTCTTAAAAAATAAAGAAGTGGCTTTACGGAAGTTATTTGCTACCTAACAATTAAAAAAAAATTTTGTTCTTGACATTGCTGTGCCATAAAAATGATAACATTTCTCGAATAAGCTCTAAAATGTAGAGTCTACTAACATATATTTCTTATTTTATAATATTAAAACACAAAAAAACTTAAAGGTAATACAAAGTGTTAGGCTAAAAATTTTAGGATATATATATATGCGTATACTAAAAAATTAGGTTACGATATGAAACGATGACGTAGTTACACCTAAAAATAACGCTTTTATTTTTTTGAACCATTTAAACCTAAATCAATGTAAATATTTTAAGAAAGTCAAATACAAAGAAGTATTGGCGTTATGAGAAAAAATATCCAAATTTAAAAAAGCTTGTGCAAAGGTAATTGTCTGATTATTTAGGCTTAGTGGCCCCAAAACATATTTTTTTAACTGCAGGCCTTATACAATACAATATATAATTATTAACAAAGTATTAAATAAATAATAATCATTAAACATAGTTTTTTTAATATACTGCTAAACAATGTTAATGACTGAAGTTTACCTTTGATAGAATTATTTCATTAAATATTATTATTAATAAAAATTGTTATAAAATGAAAATTATAATTGTATTATTTATAATTTATTTATAATAAATAGAAGTTTATAATTTTAATTTATTATATTTCATTCTTTTACTGCTAAATGTTCGGAATACAAATTGATATTGACAAAAATTATTAGTGGCTGCTTTTTCGCTATGACAATTAGTCATTTTTGTGTAATTCATTTATAGAGAGTAGTATTTATATAAATTTATTAGCTAATCCTAATACCATGTTTGGCTGTTAATTAAAAATGCATGCAAACATATACAACTACATCACAACCCAAGTAACATTTTTATTTTTATTATGGTCTTCAAGAACGCTTTAAAACAAAATTTTGTTTTAAAGCGTTCTTGAAGACCATAATAAAACTAAAAATGTTACTTGGGAAAGAACCTAATATAAATAATAATTTTCCATGAAAATCTTTCGCCGAAACGGAGCTTTCAATTGGATATTTATTTTAAATTAATTATATACCTGCCTACTTAAGATTTAAGTAAAAAAAAATTAAATAAATGATGTACTTATTTTATCTATAGACTTTCTACTTTTTATTATTTTAGCTTCAAATAGGTTGTTTAGCAAATAATTTTTAATAATAATGTATTCAACTAAAATCTATATAAGCACCTTTGATATGATCAAGGTTATAATCTTGGTTCATTTATTAAGAGGTTTCATCAGTTTTTATTAATAAAAAATACTGAATAAGTATTGATTTATTTTATTAAAACCAAGATTTTTAAAAATCTTATAATATAAGTATAAACTTGCATATTATGCAAGTTTATACTGACCTTTATATTTCGCCAGCAGCATCTTTCGACGAAGCGAGTGAAGTACCCATAAAAACATCCTAATCATAAACACTGCTTTTATATCGGATTTTAACGGTTGTTAGTTTGACTTTTACAGGAAAATGACTAACTAACACAGACATTTTGAAAGCCGGTAAAACAGATACCTAACACCAATTTTGGTTACTTGGTATAAATGTCGCTTTATAAAAATATTTAAATTAATTAGTAGTTTTGTTTGTGCCCGATTAAAATTTGTGTCTAAAATGGCGTTTAGTCGCTTCATTATTGGTGGATTTAAAATATATGATACGAATTCTTAACTATATAAAATTTAGGTTTCATCAAATTTTTCTAAAGCATTTGCTTACATCGCCTAGGTACTACATTTCTGTGGTTTTGCTTTATAAAAAGCAAAAAATGGATAATATGCATATTAAAACAAAAAACAAACAAAATAGTTAATTATAAAAACCATCTACATATTAGAATGTCTATGATAAAACCTTTTGGCTATCGTAGTAAATATACCACGTTGCCAAATTCTTGCTGTTATAAACATGCCATTATAAAATCTAAAATATTATCATTTTTGTGTTTATTACCACAGTAACACAAAATATTGGTCCTATATGGGGCTTGTCTATGCCCAATATTTTATCTGGGGCCAATATTGGATTTATTTAGCCGATGTTAGCCCTATATTGGCATAAAATGATAATGTAATATATCATTGCCAATAATTATCCAAGGTTGTTCCTATATTGGCATATTATTTTACGCTAATATATCATTAACTATAACGATGCTTTCGGATTTCTAAAAGTGATATGTAACGACACACGTTTGTTTCCAGGATATGTCTATACTAGTGGCGCAGGAACGGTTTTAAGTTGGAGGGTGGCGCAACCGACTACCATCCTTATTGTTAAGCACCAAATGGGTAAAATAATAAAGGCCATTCTTGCATATTACCGTAAGAATAACAAGGGTAATATGCGATTTCTTGTCTTATTAGCAATAAAATTATTACGAATATTGGGCCAATATCTTTGTGCTACTGGGGTATAGTTTAATGCTTTTTTTATACAATTTATTAAAAGGTATTTATTATACTTAACAAATATGAGTATGAGTATGGGGACCTATGACAGGCCCCATCGA